AGTCTCGGCCGGATTATCAGATGCGTCAGATCACAGTAAGTCTACAGGTTGGTGTCGGTGGTCGGAGAGTGACATTTGGATTTAGGCTTGGATTTGAGCAGGGTTAGAACCCAATCGTGTTGCTGAAAAAAATAGGAAAACTATGAAGTATAAAATATAATTACACACTATTTTACTTCCTAGCCCCTTTAATATCTACCATATATTAATGTTCAAATATACAAGAGGATGAATGACTAAAAGTTGAATTTTCCCACAATGCTATGAGTAGAGCTGAGTTTTCCATCGAATTTCACATAGCCTTGTCTTCCCAAAAGTTGTTCTCATCCAGGGCTGATTGCAGTTTCTCCCTCGAATAGGTCTTATTAACACACCCAGCAGGAGCTTGACACGTTAATCACTCGACCACGTTGCCACGAGTGTACTTGAGCCACAGGATGGGTGTGAATTTCAAGGAAGTTCAGGTCTTTTCGAATATCACATTCTTTGACGTTATTGTCGCTGATGCAAGCGACTGCATTACTTACTTTCTGTTTCAAGACTAACGGCAAATCAGTTATATGCGATGTATTCATCCTATTTCGTTTAAGGTGATGAAGGATTGGTAGTTGAATTTTACCACAATGATAGGAGTTTGAATAGGGTGAATTACTGGTAGTCTCGAAACTCTACTTACATACGAAAAATAAGTAATGTAGTCGATTGTAATAGCAAAAATACGTTTGCTCCATCGGCAATCCCACCAAAGAATGTGATATGGGAAAAGGTCTGGCCTTCCTCGAAATTCACATCTGCCCTATGACCCAAGGGGACTCGAGACAATGTGGCCGTGTGGTTACCGTGTCAAGCTGCACTGTCACGGTTCGACTCCCGCGGGGGGTGCTGATAATACCAATGCGAGGTCGAAACTGCAATCCAGCTTGGATGAGAACAACTTTTAGGAAATCAAGGCCATGTGAAATTCAATGGAAACGTCGGCTATACTCATATCATTGTGGGAAAATTCTACTACGAGTTTTTTATCACCTTAAACAAAATTGGGTGAATACATCTGATATAATTGATTTACTGATAGTCTCGAAACTATACTACTTTACGAGAAATAAATATACAAATACGATGGTGCACTAAAGGACTATTCTAACAGAGGAGCTCTGAACCTATTTTTGCTGCATTTTGATGTTTTTTACTTTCCTAACTCTGAAAAACATTATTCCGCTTCGCTGTTTATGCGCAATTCACAGCACACTCAACTAAATCAGTTATATTTATATCCTCCTTAAGAATAAACTTAAGCTGGCAGGTGTTCAAATAATCTGCCATTCTGTCGCCTTTTGCGAAAAGGAAATGCAAACCTCCAAAACGATTATTTGCTCTACCGAATTGACTGGGACCACGGTTTTCAAGGGAAGGAAATTATTTATCCAAAGACCCTCTTAACATTCGAAAAGCCCAACATTATTAATGAGCCATCGCTCATTCGCAAGAGCACCAGTGCCTGGATGGTAAGCTGGCTTCCTTCTTATCAGCCCTCTTTCCCATTTCTTGTTTGCGAAGTGAGTCTATGTAATCTACGTAGACAATTAGGGTCAAGCTCATGCCTTTGTGCGCAGGCAATAAATCATTCGCTCTAAGTCGGTTTTATCCAAGTATATACCGCTAAGGCTAATTATTCCAGAATATTCGACGAGAAGATCAAGGAATCGTGAGTGAGCAGGAATATTAAAATTGTGATTTGCATATTAGTGTTCTTATTTAAC